CTGGTGGCAAATTTTAGCAGAAAAAAACAAAAAAAAAGGTGAGCTTTTTTTTTTTTTTGAAGATTCGTCATCAGCGATTTTCACCAATCAACATCCAGTATGCGTTTGCTGTATTGTTGACGTCACTTCCTTCTCCATAGTCGCCGTGGGAGTCCAAGAAGCGCAACATAGGACCCAGGTTCCGCAACGCTTGCCACTACCACTCCACCATGGTTCCAGCTGGACCCAGCTCTGGCAGTGTTCACTGCCACACCAACACCTCCAAGCCGGCCAGCTGTTGGCCCGCCACATGGTATGTTGAAATCGTGCAAGACTGTGGTAAGCCGCTGCCTTGACCAAACATCCGATGCAGATATGCATGCCTGCCTCCAAAGCGCTATATCGGAACTCCGTTCCAAATGGGCTTTGAAGGGCATCACGGCAAGGTCACAGCGAAGTAACGCTACGCTGAATCGCCAGCTTCACTGCAAGTATGGTAATGTCTTGCAGGGAACTCCACCAACAGGAGAAAGACCGCAAAGCGCAGGTGCGGTGGGAAGTCTTAGAGCACTTGAAACTAGAGTGACCACCTTCCTGCCGTCCAAATGCGGTACACCCTGACCCGGGGAGAAGAGGGAAAGGGGGGGGGGGGTTAAAAGAGGAGGACGTTATTTCCACGACTGAAGAAGAAAGTATTACAGAAAATTCATCAACACACACACCCCGAAATCCTGTGCTGTCCCAAAAGCATATTCTACAACTGTAAAATTGTGTTGAAAAATTGTAATAGTTTATATTTTATTGAAGGTCTCTAAGTTAAAAACATAAAAATCAACTGCAGCAGTCCCCAATGCATCAAAAGGAACTAAGAAACCGTAATTTTTGTTTTCGGCTAATTGTTTCCTATCAATAATTACTCTTACACTAACGTGCTCCTACACAAAATTACGGCCTTGTGTTTCTTTGTTATTTTTCGACCGTTCGGGGTTGCAGGCTCTTCACAAAAAAAATAATAAGCTTTTTACAAGAGCTTTACGCATGACACAGTATGATGTGATAATAATTCCAATTGTTTATTTTTCAACTTTTTGCGAGCAATTTTCGCTTGCAATATTTTGCCATCAAGGGGAGAGGCAGAGTGGCCATGCGCGTCTGGCTCCTGCAAGACGGACGGTCGCTTCCCGCAGTGCTTGGATAAAAAATGTCATACCATCGAGATTCACACGCTTGCCAGCGACCTCTGCGCTTCCCCGTGCCCCGTTGTTCGTCGGAAGTGCCATAATTTGCATAGTGAACGTTACAACACTGTAAAATGCGGGGCATTCTGGACATTTTGGTATTTCTTACGGGAAGCGGGAAACGAGCCCTCAATGCGGGACAGTCCCGCGAGTCGCGGGACAGTCCCGCGAGTCGCGGGACGGGTGGTTACTCTACTTGAAACCGCAAACATAGAAACTACGGAGCAACCAAAGACGACGACTACCACGCTGACTTTTGTCGGCGTGCCTTCGTCGGAAGACGCAACGGCAGGCTCATCGTCGCATGCATTCTCAACTGACGTTGATAAAACAGCAGCAAATCAAGATGCTGGAGGTCTATGGACAGCAGCACTTCCCAGAAATGTGACCAAGAGAGCTCACCTGAGTGCACATCCAGTCCCAAAGACCGGACAGAACTCGCCAGCCCTTTAATTTCGTGAGCGCTACGTCGTCACTCTGTGTCCGTGCAGCAAAATCGACGTCACAGCCCTTCCCAAGAGAGGACTAATGAAGGCCATCACGTGCCCTCTCGGTCTCAAGCCAGAGATGGTCTCCATTAAGACCCCCAAAGAAAGCAACATCATCACAGTACTGACGGAGTCCGAGTCTACAAAACGGGCAGGAGCCTTTGGTCCGGCCCAGACAGGTTTTCAGACTGGCATCGGTTTCAGACTGGCTCTGTTTTGTTCCCACTCCTCTTTAATTTGGCAATGTCGCGCCTCCCTAGTCGACTCCAACAGGTTCCCAATCTCCGCTACACTTTATACGCAGACGACAACTCACTCTGGACAGTACGGGGTGACATTCAACGACAACAGACCCTTCAGCGTGGTCTCGAGGTCGTGGTAAGTAACCTTCAAAGCGTAGGTTCAACCGCCTCGCCGGACTAGACGATCCTACGTCGTCGTAGCCCCCAGAAGAGAAAGAGATGCAGACGTCAGCTCTCGTCTTCACTTGACCCTTGACGGCCGCCAGACCAATTCGGCGAGTTCGGTATGAATTCTAGGACTTTATTTCCACGAAAACGGCACCTCCAAGACCTGGGTGACAACGATCACCCAGCTATGCCAGGCGGCCCTCAACGTCATAAGAAGGCTTTGTGGCACCAGAGGTGGTTTTGACGAACAGGTGGCTTGCCGAATGGTGAAAGCCCTCATGGTATCCAGGATTTGCTATGGTGCCCTCCACTACAGACTCACCAAGACACAGTGGAAAAAACTGGAAGTCATCAACAACAACGCAGCGTGCGTTATCACCGGCCTTCCCCGTTACACCCCGCTGAGCAACCTCAAGGCACACGCAAGGCTCAGCACGGTCCAAAAAACCGTAGAAGAGGAAGCCCGTCCTCAGCCAGAGCGACTTCAGCATTGAGCCCCCGGACGTCTTATCCTCGAAATGGTAGGCTCTGACAACCGAGCCCTTCCCTCACTTTCAGAGATCCATCCTCCCTGGGGTGACGACACCTGCATTGGGGACGACCGACCGGTACCCAGGGGAGCCGGACCCAGCCGTCCTGACAAGCAAGCATGCCTAGTGCGTCAACATTCCAAACTCGTCAAAAAATGAACGGACACCAGCGAAAGACTCGCAGTGTATATTGACGCTGCCTTCGAGTCCTCCCTCACGCCGGCTTGCTCAGTATCGGTTGTAATTTCCCGCCTAAAACTTTCTATGGCGGAGAAATTGCCCGGTAGTAAATCGGTTAAGGGGGGAGAACTTGAAGCCATCCAACTTGCGCTACGCGTCATCATACGACGGGGGGTCCGACCCAAACACCTCCACATTTTTACAGACTCTGCGGCAACCCTCACGGAGTGCCGCAACCGTCAATCACCGAACAAGAGGGTTAAGACGATCCGGCGGATGGCCTCTCAACTACTTGTTCATGGCACAACCATGAAGGTGTACTGGATGCCCGCCCACGCGGACATACAAGGCAATGAACAAGCTCACTCTCAGGCTAGCGCGCAGCTGGATATCCCCCGCGAGCCGAAGAGTGTGCAGAGTCACTTACAAGATAACAGGTACTCGCTCGCGCCGGAGCTCGGTGAAGATCGCGATGAACCAGACTACGATCCCGAGGAGGCGAAGCAACTAGCCAAACAAACCTCAAGACAGACCGTGAGGGCGGCCTTGACTCCCTGTGTAGATCCGCTCCCGAGCGGGATGGACAGGGGAAACACAATGCTGCTCCGGAGGATCGTAACAAACACAGCATGCACACGGGCGCGCATGGCACGTTGGTCTACGCGACCCACAGCATCCCACTGCAACTTCTGTAACGACCCCGTCACTCGTGTCGACCAGTATCACCTCCTTTGGGCTTGTACAGAGTTGGAAGATATCAGACGGAAGCACGTACAACCAGGGCCCGTTTGCTCGAAGCTGGTTAACTAACCGCGGTTAACCGGATTTCCCTACGAGGGGGAATTTTAGGTCACGTGACCTGCAGAGTAGGGACGCCGGAGTAAAATAGTAACTAGCATCAGACAATATGTCCAATATGGCTGCTACGGCCGCTCGCCACGCTTGGGAACATTTATTTTTACGAAGATGCGTCACCCTCGTGTCACGAAAAGGACATTTCAACACAAAGTCTACTGTCGGAGTTGACGGCGAGCATGCTGTGGGAGCAGGGCCACGCCTGACTGGTTTCGTCGAGTTTGAATAACATCACGCACCGCCCTCTGAAGTGGACTTGTTTTATTGAATGCTACAGTCAGCGGGATCTTCAAAACGTATATCCTAGGTAAGTGCCGCGATGTTTCACGAGAAAGTTATGAGATTGTACCGCTATCAAAATTTCATGTCAGCAGAACTTGCGTTGTAATCAACGTCCAGCTTTCTTTTCTTTTTTTCACTTTTAAAACCTACCTCGAGCCCCAATCGCATGTTAGTGCAACAAATCTCTCTCCGAAAAACGGCCTCTAATCGCGGAGTCTGGTTTATAGTACAGTTCGTCGTGTTTTGTATTTGCAGCGCATCCACAACACCGACGACCCCCTTTAGCGGGAAACGGTTCAACGAAGGCAAGATGCAAACTAAAAACTTCCCTCAGAAGCAAAGATCCGTTACCTCAACAGAAGCTGCCAGCACGGATGCCGGCACGGCATTCGATCGAACTTCGGTACTGTCGTCTGCGAACTTGTACAACTGGGAAATAAACAAAGCTTCTATCGGAAAAGAAGTGTGCATATTTTCTCTCGCACTTGTCTTTCTTCAATTTATTTTGTTTCAGATAACTAGATGTCTTATTAGGATTATAAAGAGAGACATAATTACGTAGCAGACGATCACAACCAATCTGAAATCTAAAATGAGTCAGGCGAATGCAAGCATCACCATGAAACGGCAGAGGAATTGGTCATTGGATGAACAATTAGAACTAATTCGGGCAGTGGGGGAGAGGAAATATCAAATTATGGGCAAGTTCAGTGCTACGGTCACGACCCAAACCAAAAGGCAGGCATGGGACGAAATTTACAGAGCCATGGGCTGTTTGCGCACCCCAGACCAGCTACAACAGTGCTGGAGAAACCTCCTAAAAAAGACTAGACAACTCTACAGCTTATTCAAGAAGCATGAACAGCGCACCGGTAAGTTCATTGTGTTCTTAAGTTCAAAAGATATTGCATTGCTTTAGTGATAATACATGAGCAACCAAACCTAGAAACGTGAATGTGGACATTTGTATATTCGTTCACCTTTGCCCTCTGCTGGGAGTCGACTTTTCACCTTCCTTGAACAGCAGCAAAAGCAGTGTTACAGCATCAGAAAACAATTTATTCCAGTTTATGTACAAGTTCTGCACAGGCTGTATGGAACTTGTAAAACAGTTCAGTGGAAGACCCAAAACTTCGGACAAAATAATAAAACAGATTATAAGAGAGCACAATGGTAGAGGCCGACAGGCCAAACTATAAGAAAGTAAAAATTGCACGATTACACAGTCCACAGTTTCAGCAGTGTTATCTAGCAGTTAATGAATGTTTAAAAGAATGTCTCATGCAGTATTTGTTTATTTTAATTTTCCCATGAAAGTTCCATTTACATACTTGGTTGAACAGTGAACCCCACCTCCTCTGTTTTTGCTCGTAACTCGAGTAAGTAAGAGTCGAGACGAAATTACTACGCCTTAATTCATGGGTGCTGGGCCAAACCCCCACGTCCTGACGCCCCTCGTCGAGGCCGTCCTCGAAGTGATCGGCGAGGACTCGCCCAACCTGTGCGGGTTGGAGGCCACCATAGGTGACACGGAAGAGTAGGTGACTGGTTTCTAGACCCGATTGTGTGAAGAGTAAATGGTTTTAAGGAACCGGTCACAGTAATGCAGAACTGTCGTTCCAGGCGAGGTTCTAAAAGACGAGGACAAATGATGATAAGAAGATGGGCATGTTGCCATTTGAATGGCATTGCTGCCGAGTACTTTCATATAAAGACCAGAGGCCGGATGCCCGAAACTTTCTTACAACAAAGTTACAAACTTTTGAGTATTCCCGAAGCAAAATGTTTGTAAGTTTTGCGCAAGTTCTGACGAAATCCGTAGCTTGCGCAAAACTTACGATCTTTGTGCTTCGGGAATACTTAAAAGTTCGTAAATTTGTCATAAGATAAATCTACTAACTTTTTTGTCGTAAGAAAGTTCCGGGAATCTGGCTTCAGTTCTATTTCAACAACAAAAGCTCAAAGGCGGTTCGAAATATAAGTCACGAAACCGTCTTCCAGAGTGCACTCTAAGATCTGACGAGGCACCAGCGCTACCACATTTCTAATTATTTTCAACAAGGCTGAAACAGTTTCACCGAAGCTACAAATTCATGCAATAACACGGCATGCAATGAGAAATCAGGTGGTAAAGCTGTTTATTACCATCTTATAGAAATTAAATGCAACAAAGTGGCAATGGCTTTTTTTTAATGCTAACTGTAGCACGCTTTCAATATGCAAATTAAAAGATCACACACAGTACAACCATCCTGTTGCTTGTTTTACCAACTTAGAAAATTGGCTCAAACATTAACTTCATTCTGGTCAGGAAGTTAACTACCCCCATGATGGTAACCTGTGTGAGTAAAATCAATACCAGTGAAGCTATGTGCTGTAATGTTTGAGGTTGTCCTATAAATGTGCAGTGCATTGTGGTTTGACTGGACATGTGACCACTAAATTTATGAACTGTTAATCGCATAGCTACACAGCTGCATTCTAACCTTTAGAATGCAGCTGTGTGCTCTTCACAACCAAATGCTCTTCACAACCAAATGCACATTTTCCTACACCATGTACTGGGCAATTGTGCAAGAAGTAACAACACTGCGCTCCGACCTCAAGCCTGTGCGTCAGTGTATAAACCAACTTGGCTCACAAACTTTGTCCTCTGTACCAACCCGTATGAATGAATTTTGGCGCAGCATCGGTGTCTTTATCAGGGTTACAAACTTTGCACAGTGTGTTCTCTTTGCCCATGCTGACAAGAACAAAACCTGACCACTTTTTACACATGCATTTGTCGCAGTGACAGCTCCAGGGGAATAGATCCACAGCCTGGTCCCTCTGGGAGCGGAGCAAGTGCGGCAGTGCTGCACGAGAGTCGGCCGCTGGAGGCGGTGCAGCGGGCTCCAACAAATGTGCCATACAGCCGACGTTGGTGCCGGGAGGCTTCACAGCGCTTCTTGCAGGAGACAGAAAGGCAGCAGCAGCTCGAGGGAGCTAATCTCCTGCTGGAGAAGGAGAGCACAGAAATGGTTAAGCAAGCTGCCACGGCAACAATTGCAGCAGCAACTGCTGCCGAGGAGTTCTACCAGCAGTCAAAAAAATTACTAGAGGACCAAAAAAATTTAATTCAACTGGAAACACAGCGTGCAGAATTGGAAATCAAATTGCTAAAAAAACAATTAGGAGAAGAGTAAACATTGACATATTACGCTGTTTTTAATTTTCATTTTGAATGTATATATATATGACAAAGCCAACACAGCTGCTGATAAATAAAATCCATTTTACTTGCAACTGTATATTTCTAGATTCAGATCTGCTATACTCTGTCTCGTCCTACGATGGACTAAAGCCCAATGCTACACGCCGCCGGGTCCAATCACGAGCCTGTTTGAAACCATGTGGTATATTTGCTCCGTCAAACATATCGGTGCGCCGAAACGTGTCATGCGAAGACTAGTTTTTCATCTGCTTATCGAGAACTAACGGCGGCTCCGCCTACTTGCAGGGTTTTTGCTCTAGTTCCTTGTCACAGCACGAATAGTTGCGACGCTCAAGGAATCTTGACTGCTGATCCATCTCTGTGTGCTCTGTCCGTACCGCCGTCAGCCTCGTATGCGCCTCAGTTGCCGCTAAGACTAAAAGCCTGCCTTGCATGTACTCATCGGAAGATTGTCTGGCTAATTTTATCATTTGTCTAATTTATCTTCGTATCTCCCTGAACCATAGCCTATGGTATTCGTGTTCCCGCTGCGCCGGGGTAATCGGCAGCAGTAGTCAAGCGTAATATGTGGTGACGGCGTGGTCGAAAATTCCACTCTCTTCCAACCTAACGCAGAAACAACATTTGGTATTCCAATGTTTGATCAATTAAAAACAAGCAGAATGCACTGGTACTCAAGACCATGCAAAGCAGCATGTGCAATATATTGGTATACTTACGCTCAACCGAAGAACTGGCTGACGATGGCATCCCGAGCCTCGTTGCTTTCATCACGGCCCGCTGCCACGGGCTCGACGGGAACCTCTTCGGGGAGGACAGTCCTTGGCATGCTGCAGGGGTATGTCTTGGCCAGGTTGTGCAGGACACAGCGGGCAACAGTGATGTCGCAGCATCTCTCTGGCTGCATCCTCAGCTCAGCATGGAGGCAATGAAATCTCCGCTTGAGCTGGCCTATTGTCCTGCACAGTGTATAAATAGAGCAAGATCTGTTATTCTTTTGAAGTGGTTTATAAGAACATCTAATGAGATCGGCATGCGATGTCTATCATCGCTCCAGCCCATCGAAAACATGGTATTATGCCTAATAGTTAATATTTTTGTTGGAATATTTTAACATAGTAATGAAATGCAGATTTTGTTAAAGATTTCAGTGATGTGATTGGTCTGAGTCATTTTGGAGCAGCCCTTGGAGCAGTCAAAAGTCAATTATGGTGCAACAAAAAGAACTTTTGTAGCATAAGCGCACATTCATTTTTATTGATACCAATGCAAACACCACGTCAAGATTAATTTTTCGGCCTGTCCAACTAAAGGGCAAAGTCTACGTTGCCTTCTCACATACGTTCAAACCTTTGTTAGCATCAACTGCGCAGCAAGAGTTCCTCAAACACAAAACTATAGCGTTCAGTTGCGTGGAGAAGCACCATGACAGGGTAACAAGAAGGTGAGTGATGAAGGACAGCACAAACTCCTTTAAATGGTTATTTTAGGTACTGAATGCCACTAAATTAGTACAATAACATTGGTCACATAAACTGATGTTTCCTTCAAGTTCTAGAGGTTGTAATAAAACTGCAATTTATAAATGAGATAAAAAAACAAAGCAATTATCATTTGATTATCAACATAAATTACATTTTATCTGTAGAACTTCAGAGCAAAAACGGCATGTGAACGAAACTTAAAAACAAACCCGCCGAACTCATTCAGGCTCTTCCTGAGATTTGATCCACTGCTCCTGTCAATTTAGTTCTAATCTACTCGCACCTACAGAAAATTGATAGCTAAACAAATGAGTTGGCATAAATAAATAAACATGCATAAGAGCATATATAAATGCTCTTGCAATACCAAAGTACCCTTACTAAATCTCGAAATCGAAAAAGGTGCCGCCAGGATCTTGTAATCCATCATATTTACGAGCCGAAGTTGTGTTCAGGAATTGTGTTGAGTCTCACTTTGGAGGAGAGCTTTCTCCTTAACACAGGGTCCGCTGCAGAGAAGCAAGACATGCAAAGTTGCGATGCCTACTCCGTGGTGTTTGCTTCTTTGCAGTACACCGGTGCGTGGTGAAAAGCGCATTCAACGACACTATAGTCCGTTGCAACCTAAGAACGAAGGGCGAGGGTAAGACGGGTTGGGGAGGAGGAAGCAGGCGGAACGCTAAAGAGAGAAGGAGGTTTCCCCCTCTCTTCTCTAGCGTTCCGTCTGCTTCCTCCTCCCCGGCCTGTCTTACCCTCGCCCTTCGTTCTTAGGTTGCAACGGACTATAGCTAACCCTCCAGAATGAACAGACGACTAACATAAAAATTATTGCGAAACTTCCAGATATTGCCTGTCATTCATACGAAATGTGATGGAATGGTATCGTATACGAGACTATAATCAAAAGTTTTGAAAACCTGAAAACTTGCGTAAGCATATCGTGACGGTCCGGCCGGGCAGCGAAGCCCGAGCTATTATATCTTCAGTATTATTAAAATGAAAATAAGTTTTGGTGCTACGTTGGTGCAAATTCCTCACATTTTTGTTAAATGTAGCAGGACGTAGCAGGGTAATCACTTTGGCGCAAATGGCGCAGCAATCCCATCACAGATATAATGAAAATGTTCTTCGCAAAAACTTGCAAGGAAAATTGCAGTTTGAGATAAGCAGTATTTAATAAGATATGCTTGAATAAGTCTGTACACAAACTGTCTAAAAACAAAACCTGCCTAAGCCAGTGTTTTTTTTTCACATTGCAAGCTGTTTTTTTTTCTAAGAATTGCTTTACATTTAGGCAATATAGAGTAACAAAAAAAATAAACTGCTATTGTTTGAAATGTGTAAACAGCTAGTAAAAACCTGTAGGTTAATAAACCCAGTCATACAGGAAGGATATGTTTCAGAGAAGTTCTAACTTCTATTCTGGAGTTTAAACAGAAAAGAGCAAATGAAATATAACAATTATTGTGACATAGAGTTAACTGGCTAATGGTTGAATTTTGTGAATTGGTGTTCTTCATTCCCACAATGCTGGCTAACCTTAGAATAAACATTTCAGGCTATGGCAGTAGGTTATAGCCCGTAGTATAAATAAGGTGTAGTAGAGATACGCCTTCCTCTCCTTGCTTCTGAGCAGCCGTAGCCTACTATGCAAGAACATAAAAATGGCAACAAATGTAAAGCTCAGGCACAACCACATAAAAAAGGTTAGGTGCCTCAAGGTACCGAAACACTGAACCGTCGAACCAGGACGCATAGCCTGGCTTTACCGTTCCACGATGCTCCTCGTTGTGCTATGTGACGCATTGTAGGCGACCTCCGCTGCTGATGACGGAGACAGGAAGGGCGTCATCAGCCATGGCTTGCAGGTGTAGCCGCTGTCTCCAAGCAGTAGGCCCTCGTAAACGCCATCGGCCAGCTTGCCTGACAACGAGCCCTCGGTGAATATCCTAGAGTCGTGGGTGCTTCCAGGCCATTTTGCAACCACATTGCGGATACGGTAAAAGACGTCAACCACTAACTGTACATTTATTGAGTGCTACAGATGGCGGTTAACGTACACCTCCTCATGCACTTGTGGTGCCTGTATCCGAATGTGAGTGCCATCAACAGCACCCACGACCGAAGGAAACCCACCGATCTCAAAGAAGGCCTGTTGTAAGGCATGACCCTCAGCTTCACCTGGCCACCTGCATTGTAGATGGATTTGAGTCAGTCTGTAGCACTATGACATTAACAGTGCCAGTTTTGTTGTAATGATCACATGCTTCAAAATAACACAGCTATCATTCATCGTCATCAATAGTGAGCAATAAAAGCCTCGTCTGCACAATGACAGTACTCAGTAGCCGCAAGACTAGCTCAGTAGCAACAAGTGCATAGTTGGGAGGGCAGAAACCAGGCTGTTTGTAAATGTCTGCACTCCTACTTTATTTGTAGATTAGTTGAATTTGCACCTGCACCAATAATAGGTACTAAGGGAGTCATTTTGTACACTCCAGTTGGTTCGTGTAATTTTACTGCCCAGTTCACTGGTCTGCAAGTCACGCCCATTACCAAAAAACAAATATCGAGTGCTGAAGCAACACTATTAATGATCCTTTAGGGAGGTACCAGTATACGTGGGGATCGATGCGCTGGCAGATATTCAGGCTAGCAAGCCTACAGCTTAGGAAACAAAAACGAAAGGGTCATTGCGCAGGTGGTGCGCCGTAAATAAATTGCAGAATAGGTGTGCGGAGAAGACCACCTTTAACGAATTCGGGGGTTTCAGCGAACACAATTCACGCACCGAAATTTCTATACAAAGGGTTTCTGAAATAATGGTGATTGCTCATCGAGCAATCTAGGCCCAGGCTTTTTTTCTCGGAAAACTGGCCTGCACATGCGCCTAATATCGGGACGCACCAGAGATGCTCCAGACCACTTACCCTATGAAGTCTCGGGCACGACGTGCCAAGGCCTGAGTCACCCGCCTCACAGTCCGCGAAGCAGTGGAGACGTGCACACGGATGTAGTCCCCTGCGGTGATGAGGAAGTTTTCCGTGGCGTAGAACTGTAAGGCGACAATGACCTGCTGCTCTGCAGAGAGGGCGCGGCTGCGACGCGTCGGCCGCTCCAAGTCCGGGCGCAGTGTGTCGGCGAGGAACACAATGCCCGCGCGACCGAATCGAAAGCGCTCCTGCAGTTCGTCCTCGTCGAACTCCTCCAAAGGGTTCAAGCGGTCACGGAACACACGCTGCCGTCCCATCATCACAACAGCGTACTGGGCGAACACGCGCTCTCTTCGATGTCGGCGTCGCGTCACAGTCGACATTGCCTCCCTTATCTTCACCAATCCGTCCGCAAATCAGTTGTCAGTCAGTCCGGTAGTCAGTCGGCGAGCGAGTCGGAGGGTCGGTTGGGCAAACGGCAGGAGAAGACAAACAGTGAAAATCAGGTGATAACTAAAGCGCGGGAAACGTGCGTCGCAAAACACGGAGAACAAAACAACGAAAACAACGAATCTATAAAGACCGTTGCCAGATCCGAAATCAACGCTGCAAACTTATGCTGTGTTTGGCGGCACAATAGATGCATCAAGATATTTATTATTTTTTTAAAGTACATATATATTTTCATGCATAAAAAGAAACATTGTGATACGATGTTGTTTTTATTTTTCTTAATAAAGACAAAACTAGCAAAAACGTTTCTTAAAAGGCTATTGTTTGCTTCGACCGGAAGGTGGCGGGACCTACCGCATCATAATAAAACACGGAGAAATTGTGCATTGAGTTTTTGTCGAACGCGGCTAGGTACTCGGATGTACCTAGGTAGGGAAACGCGGTTAACTTTTAACCGCGGTTAGAGTTAACCAGTTTCGAGCAAACGGGCCCAGATGTCCCCAGCGTAGAGGAATGGACTTATCCTGAGGGGCCTCCCTACAAACGTCGAGCTGTCATGACCACTCTTTTGGATTTTATCCACAAGGCGGGGCTGACAGCCTATCTATCTATAAGTAAAAAAACCAAAAAAACCTTCCCCGGCCTTGTCCCAAGCTCGTACGCTACCGGTCCGATCCCCTCCCTTCCTTCCCAAAGGCCAATAAGCGCTTTTTGAACCTGAACCTGAATATCGAAAGATAGGACAACACACAGAAGAAAAGGAAGTGAAAACGAAACAAAATGAACATAACAGACATGTACAGTCTCCGGCGATATGAAAGACCCACTGGGAGCGCGTGGCCGAGGTGGTGGCTGGCGGGGGCGCTGCGAGCGCTCCGGGCAGTTCCATTCCGCTTCGAGGGGAGGACGCTCACTCGGGACTCGGCACAAACTGATAAGCGCGTTTCGCTTTATCTGAGCCCGAGTGAGCGTCCTCCCCTCGAAGCAGAATGGATTTGCCCGGAGCGCTCGCAGCGCCCCCGCCAGCCACCGCCTCGGCCACGCGCTCCCAGTGAGTCTTTCATATTGTCGGAGAGTGTATGTCGAAAGTGCAGGACTGTTTGCATCAACCAATGTGCTCAATACATCTTCTGAGTGTGGAAAATAAAAGTTATTTATATTGAGAATAGAACTGATGGTCACATTATAGCCCCGGGCATAGCCGAAGGCTTTCACCCCCGCTTTTCGCTATTACAACCAAAAGAGTGGCCAGTCGCTTTGAAACACATGACGGAAGATTCCGTTTACTTTATCACTAACGGGCTGAACTAAAGTATAATTTCCATTATTTGAAACTTTCGCAGTTATACTATCAGCGATTTCTTGAGGGACGAAGTATCAGAGGTGCTTTAAAAAACATTAGAGGGCTTTCCTTTTTTTTTTTTTTTTTGATGAGGAGAACCTGTGTTTAGTAATCACGAACTATGTCATGGGGTCTTTCGAAGACGTGCTGTGTATAGCGAAAACTTCTCGTTTTTTGGTCGGATGGAAACCGCCGCTCCGGAATTATTGAGCCTGAACAGGGAAGCTCTTTTCATGTTAACTAAACCTATAATTCCCAATAAATATTTTAAGTGTATACAGACACTATGGGTCCACCTCATCGTCATTTTTAATATTTGAAAACTTAAACGTGGCCCTCTGTTTATTTTTTATATAGCACCTGTGACAGATTGCCCTCAGATGCTCCCACCGCTACTTTTTAAAATGGCAGTCAAGGGGTCATGCTTATTTCAACAATAACAAGTTGTGTACTGTGAAGTGTGGGACACATTCTCTGTCTCCCTTACTTGTTTTAGTGTTTTCCACTCTAGTCACAGGGTTTATTATTATGTTCAATACGCCCCATCTCACCCGCACTGTAAGAATTTCGGTTCCAGTCTCCCACGTTCTTTACCGGCGCCACATTTCGCTGAATAGCACTTACGATTTCTGCTTCATGAACCATATCTGCCATTTGGTTTGCATTACTTTCTCTACACGTACCAGATTAAAAGCGGCAATGAAACTTAGTTTTATTTTTCGGGAATCACAAACAACGCCTTCTTTGTTTCTTATCGTCACAAGCCTGCCACAAATCTCTCGCTAAGTGCTCTTACAAAACAAACTCTAAAGTTGCAATTTGATCAGACTCTTGAGGTTCGAAATTAAGTTTCCCAGCAATTCATGATCTAACTGACACTGTTGGTTCACCTTACAGCGTAATATTTTTATGAGTTCGTACGTTCGATCGCCGATAACTGTTAAAACGTAGCTAACCTTTCTTTTTTAATGTTTATGCCATTTGCAACGAGGAACTTCTCAAACCAATCAACATAGGCATACCTATGTTTGGAATTCCTCTTTAAACACAAGTACCGTCCCTACGGGCGACATTTCTATTTACTTATATTCTAAGTACATCGAGAAGTCCAGAAAAGCACAGAATATACTGTTCCATGGCGGTCGTTCAAATTGCGGCTCTTTTAGTTGATCGCTGTGGGTTCTTGGTTTAACACCGTAGTAGGCGTGAACAAGGACTCCGTTCCAACGCAAAGTTCTGAAGACATCTGATGACAGCTGACATGCTTTTCTCGTCGGTAATTTTATATCGTTACATCATAAATGAGAGAAGCAACAGGCTTTTCCAGGTGAGGGGCTCTATATTCAATAAATGGTGTGTGTCGGAGCGGAGGTCTAAGTTAGACACTCGGCGAGAAACTTGACGAGAGCTCTGACCGTCACGATTGGCTAGCGCCGTACAGCCATTGGCCAGCGCCAAGGTCCCACGCGGCGCTGGATAATAGCGATGGTCGGTTATTTCGCCGACTTTCTCGCCGACTGCCCAACTCAGAGCGCGGGTCACTCGCTATGACAACGTGGACGCTCTGAGCTCAACTCAACACCGCATGCTGGCATGCCGTATCGGAAGGTGAGTAAGAAAATATGTCAAAATTAAAATATCCAGTATTGCGTGTGGGCAAAAAGGTTATTTCTAGGTGACGTCCTTCATATCCAGAGACTTCATGTGGATATTCAAATGGCACCAGCAAACAACAAGGAGATTGCGGGTCGTGAGTGCGCATGCGCAGAACGCAATAGAAGGGCTAGTGTATTGCGTACGCACGCAACGCTGGGGAGTTTGCGTTGCTGGCTAGCGGGCCTTGCGGGACGCTCTCGAGAGATCTCGGACCCAACGAGAGCACCAGTTTCAAGATGACGGTTGCCTCGACTGGCGCAGCACTGATCTCTATTTTAGTAGGCTGGATCGCGGATCGGGAGCCCGTCGGAGTCGCCACCGGCGGCCATTGCTTGACGCCAGGCAATACACGCAAGTCTATGGGAGAAACGCACAAAAGCAAGAATATTGAAGCATGTACGCTGTGCTCGGAGGCAAGTATTTTATGGTGCGCTACGATCCTTATGCCGGGTGTTTGGAGATCGAATCGGTATTTGTCAAACGTTCCGTCGCCGAATAAACAAATCAAACGTACCGGAGCACTTACGGCTGAGCTGGCAAGCTTGCTCTCGTAGTAGGCTAAAGAAAGGAACTTGCCGTCAATTAGACCGTCCTCGGGGAAGCTCAGACGTTGATGAATGACAAAGAAGTTCCATCTCGACAACGGCGCTCCGAGAATGAGCGAATTCCGCGTAGCAATGCCTTCGAGCTTGTCGTCTGCTAAACCCAACTCAATGAAACCGCCACCGACTCCGCGGTAACTCTGGGTTACTCGCATCATTGAGCTGCACTACAGCGGAGTCACTCTCGACCACAAAATATCTATTTATAAGAACTGCGAGGGCTGTCAGTTTTAAAGTTTGTACGCAAGCTATTTGACGGGCTTATCGAAAAGCATTCAAAACGTTTCAGTGCCGACAACAGCTTAGAAACGGAGGAAACGGCACTTTTTCTCGTTCTTCCCATAAAGGCCCATGCATTGGCTGCTGTCAATCAATGGCCGCCGGTGGCGACACTCGGCCCCAGCTGCCGAGGCCGCGGTCCGCGATCCAGCCTACTACAATAGAGATCAGTGCGGCGCAGCAAGGGCGACGTGGTGTTTTCCAAGTTCTGTGTTACCTGAAATTGCGTGGCTTTCAGCTCGGCGATTCTTTCTGGGACCTACCTCGGTCGAATCAGATCGCCCTGCAGCTGAAGCAGTGGACAGTGGAAATGTTCGCCGCTCGCAGTGTGCGTCGACGCTGCGATCTGCTCAACGCTAAGCCTATTCCCACAGTTCATCGCCGACGGACAAACGGCTCTAAAAGAAATCGCCGAACTTCTCGCTATGCACTGGACATCAGGGTCATGAATTTCATTCCGCGATATCATTGATAAAAGGTGCCGTTTCCACGGGATGACTGACGAAGGCTCCGTGATCGAATTTGGCTACGCAGTCGTACTCGTAGCCCCTGTACCCCGCAGATAAGCGCGCTTGACGAGGCAGCTGTGGCTTGCTTTAATCTGAAATAAAATGATTGGACACTTTTTCTTTTTCAATGTTTCTTTCCAGGAGCATGGTTTCGCTATAAGCACGCGCAATTCTACGGCTTTAGCAAACTTAACCAAGATCATGCGCGGTGTTCACTCGAAAACGTAACGCAAAACTAAATCCGGTCCGAGCAGGTCATTTTTAGCGTGCGCTATACTATTGCGTACTGCGTACGTAAGATCCAGCAACGCTATACTAAAACTGTCTATTAAATTAAAATCAGTCGGTACATTCACATCATGCTGCCAATAATTTTTTCACACAAATCAAATTAGTTGCATAATACGTACTTGGCCCTTCCTGAATGTGTGCTCCCGTATATCGCAGTGAGCGGCAAACACTACCTTTGGGAACGACAGCGCTGTAAAAATAACATCTTTTTATTGCGTGATCATTTTCATAAAAGTAACTCAGCCTAACGA